GATAATGTGACAGACAACGGACAATGACGAAACAGGCATAAAATGGATTCACACAAAATACTTGGAGGATCTGAACTTCGCCGATGATATATGCCCGACCGAAAGCTGCTACCTTGACGTGGTGGTCGGGCTTGAACACCGCAATGACCTAATCAAGCTATACTGGCTGAGACTTATGTCTCTTGAGGTTCTACCATGCCAGGCAGGTTGTTTGGATAGCGGTTAAACAAAAAGCAGCTACCCAATCCAACATCATGTCCAATACAAAATTACAAAATTTCATGCCGGATCGGCCGTGGCCCGGATTAACAACGACCGCGCTTCCTGCTGCCGTGTCACAGGGCGGGAGTGATAAATCTGCTACTGAGACACACCAAACAAAAAAGAACGAACAAAAACAGGCCGCGTGTGACCGGCCTCAAGCAGTTGTCCCCTGGGCTCTGCGGTCACGCAACCAACTTCCACGGTGTGGGCAGCCGGGAAGTAACAATCGCCCTCACAATCCGAAATGCACACGAAACCTCTCTATTACTCACTCATCTTTGTCTTCATCTTCATCTCTATCATCTTGCCTTCCTTCCACTGATGCAACTCCTCGACTTGATAGCTCTCCACTTCCTCTCCACTCTGCGTCCACTAAAAACGATGGAAGCCAAAAAACCACCACCGACAGCCTCTTAAAGCCGCGCCACCAATTTCATATAGGAGCTCTTAATGTTAGGACACTTTGCCAAATAGGACAACAAGCATCACTAGCCAAGACCCTGGCATCACGAGCCATTGATGTATGCTGTGTTTCAGAAACACGCATACAAGACCCAAGTGTGGTTATTCACCTAACCCCACCTGGCCAACAGGTTGAATCTGCAAAATTCACCTTGAGGGTGTCAGGAGATGCCACAGCTAGTTCACGAGGATTAGCTGGCGTAGGGATAGCTTTGAGTACTAGGGCAGAAAAGACATTGCTTGACTGGATCCCGGTAGATAGCCGAATGTGTGCTGTCCGCCTGAACGGATCAGTAAGAAGGAGGAAGGACTGCACTACTCGCCGATGCCTTTTCGTAATCTCCGCCTACGCCCCCACTGACTGCAGTTCAGATGAAACGAAGGATGAGTTCTACCAAAAGCTGTCTAGTTTGGTGGAAAGGCTAAACGCTCAGACATAGTCGTTCTAGCTGGTGACTTTAACGCTCAAGTAGGGAAATTGTGTCAATCTGAGAAGGATGTCGGTGGCACCTATGGAGCTCCGTGCCAGCGAACCGACAACGGTGACCGTCTCCTACAGTTCTGCTCTGATAATCATTTGTTTCTTGTAAGCACTAACTTTAAACACAAGGAGAGACACTGTTTGACTTGGAGACCCCCTTCATCAAACCAACGCTGGACACAAATAGACCACATAGCAATAAGCTATCGTTGGCGTGGGTCGGTAGGAGATTGTCGCTCCTTCTGGAACACGTGCGTAGATACCGACCATGCACTGGTCCGCGCTCGGGTGTGCTTACGACTGAACGGACGTAGGAAACAGCTGGCGGTAAAACCATCACGTCCCCAGCTCGATCAGGAAACTAAATCCGTATTTCAGGAAGAACTAGCTAAACACATATCTGTGTTCGACAGCTGTGCTCACCCTGAAGAAGCTTGGAAAAATATCCAGGCAGCCATAGATACAGCTGTAAAAGCTGTGAATAAGGTAAACCCAAAGGTGAGTAAAAACCACTGGATCTCCACCGCCTCATCCGAACTGATAGATGCTAGAAGACTTATTCCGGCGAGCTCCGAATTCAATGAGGAGCGAAAGCTGCACAAGAGGAAACTTACGAAAAGTCTCCGCAAGGACCGTGAACAGTGGTGGGCGACAAAAGCCAAAGAGATGGAGAAAGCTTTGAGGATAGGCAACACCAGGCAACTCTTTGGACTCATCAGGGAAACGGGTGGGAGAAGACAAATCATCAGTGAGACAATCTCGGAAAAAAATGGCACTATAATTAGCTCACAGGATAGACGACTGGATCGTTGGAAAGAGCATTATGAGGAGCAGTTTAATTTGCCCACAGCCACGCTCAACCTTCCGAGCATCCAACACCTCCCTGAATGGGATATAGACACAGGTCCTCCGTCACTAACTGAGGTTACTAAAGCTGTCACCAATCTGAAACTAGGCAAAGCAGCGGGACCTGATGGAATGACTCCAGAGGTATTTAAGTACGGTGGAGACAGCTTACTGTCCGGATTAACTGAGGTACTAGGCAGCGTCTGGGAATCAGAAGAAGTCCCATCGGGTTGGTGTAAGTCACTGATTATCCCCATATACAAGAAGGGAGACAAGTCTTCCTGTGATAATCACAGAGGGATTAGCTTGACTAATATAGTATCTAAAGTCTTAGGCTCAATAATCATGCGTAGACTGAGTGGTGCTCGGGAAGCACAAACACGAGAGAGCCAGGCAGGCTTTAGACCAGGAAGAGGGTGTATTGATCATATCTTCACCCTCCGACAGATTCTAGAACATAGGCATTCCTACCGGCGTCCAACAGTCATTATATTTCTTGACCTAAAGGCAGCATTCGACTCTGTCGATCGGGAAGTTCTCTGGAGATGCTTGGCTGTAAAGGGAATTCCGAGAAAATATATTGCACTGATTAAGGCACTCTACTCGTACTCATACAGCCAGGTGAGGGCTTACGGCGAGCTGTCATCTGAACTGATGACGACCAGTGGTGTCCGTCAAGGATGCCCATTATCTCCTTTTCTATTCAACTTCATCATAGATGTGTTAATGGACTTAACCCTAGGTGACTTCAGCGACTCAGGGATTGACTTGCTACCGGGAATAATCTCGTTGACTTGGAATATGCAGACGATATAGTCCTTCTAGGCGAAGACGCTGACGAAATGCAGAGTCTTCTAAACACCTTGAGCCGCAATCTACGAATGTTTGGCATGCGATTCGCTCCCGCCAAATGCAAGATGATGTTACAGGACTGGACTACATCGACGCCTAGTTTAAAAATAGGAAGTGAAGTGGTAGAGCACGTTGACCGCTTCACTTATTTGGGAAGTACCATCAGCCCCAACGGGCTGATCTCTGACGAAATCTCAGCACGAATACAAGGGGCTCGTTTCGCATTTGTTAGTTTACGCCGACTCTGGCGTAGACGAGATGTTCGACTATCGACCAAAGGGCGGGTGTACTGCTCATCAGTCCGCTCCGTCCTCCTTTATGGTTGTGAGACCTGGCCACTGAGAGTGGAAGACATGAAAAGACTAGCTGTCTTTGATCATAGGTGCCTGCGTTCTATTTCCCGTGTAAAGTGGCATAATAAGGTGAGCAACATGGAGGTTAGGCGTAGAGTTCTAGGTAAACAGGGGAAATCAATCGACGAAGTCGTGAAGCTACAAAGACTGAGATGGTTAGGACATGTGTTACGTATGCCAAGCCATCGCCTCCCTCGACGAGCTATGTTAGCGGATATAGGGTCAGGCTGGAAAAAAGCTAGCGGCGGTCAAACAAAAACTTGGCATCAGTCAATGAAATCCACAACAGTTGGTCTAAGCCACGTAGAAGGGTGTAGACTTCCAGGCTGGGGTCCTCGGGACGGTAAAAATCTATGGTTGGAAACAATTGGTGACATGGCTCAAAATCGTTCTCAGTGGCGCAGATGCATCCACTCCCTGTGACTTATGATCTTCAATGAAACTGTTTTGTATTTCTTTATTACTCCTTTGTCTCACACCTCTGCTCACTGTTTCTATTATGCTTTTCTTGTACTTTCTTCTCTTGCTTCGCGTGCTACACGGAATGTGGCGACTTGAACTTCCGCACATTTGTGCAAAGTTCTATGTCGAAAACAGACAGACAGACAGATATGTCTGATTTCCCACTAACTGGAAAATGTGCAAGTGAAAAGCAGAAAAAGCATCAAAGATAGGACTTCAGGTGAACATAGAGGAAACAGAGCTAGGTGATGAAGATTCCTGGCCAACACCAACAGCAACAACAACAGACAGCAATCAGTATAAATGGGAGGAACCTGAAAGAAACAGCCTCCTTTACCTACCTACCTGGGAAGCATCGTTTCAACTACAGGCGGAGCTGACGAGTATATCAAAGCCGGAATCGGAAAAGCAAGACAAGCTTTCATTACTCTTAAGTCTGTGTGGAGGTCAACAGCACTCAGCATCAAAAATAAAATCCAGACTTTCAACTCCAATGTGAAGTCAGTTCTACTTACTGTACGGAACAGAGACTTGACGCGTCATAAAGAGCATCTTAAACAAACTACAGACCTCCATTAACAGTTGTCTTCGCTCAATCCCAATCAAGATCAGATGACCGGCCAGAAAAGATCAGCAATAGGGATGGATCTCTGGCAATGAGCGAACCAACCAGGAACCGATTATGAAACAAATGGGCAGGAAGAAATGGAGATGGATTGGCTGGGCACACTCTGAGGAAACCAACCATTAAATGACATCACTAGACAAGCCATCGCTCGAGTGGAACCCGAAAGGGAAGCGGCGAGTTGGTCGTCAGTGCAAGGGTGACTTTGAGGAGGTCATGTGAAGAGGAGATGAAAGCGTGTGGACAGACTTGAAGCGGGGTGGAAACGTTGGCAGAAAACCGAACGAAATGGAGGTGCGCAGCTGAATCCCTATGTTCCTCTAGGAATTAAAGAATATAATAATAATAATGACAGTTGTGGCGGACAGTACATCAGCATTTGCACTGCATTAATCCCATCTCAATACATATAGGTTGAGGTGCAAAGCAACTTGATATGATTATGAGCGATAGTTTGTGCTCGAAACGTCATCAGTTAATATTACTGTATAACACTGTGTGATTTATCAAAATAAAATTCTATCCACAATGGAGTTATGCTCTATCACAGTGCCCAAGTTTTATACTTATATCAACTTCTCATTGGCTGTGAAGAATATCCTTGTCTTCATAGTCAACCCTAATTAAGATCTCAGAATGGGCATGTAAAACCATTGAACTCCTAGATGATTTATTAGTTTGAAAGAACAGCGCAAACTCAATTAAGAATAAACAGTTATCATGAATATTACCCTTCTGGTTGTACTAGAATGCGGGGACTGCTAAGTCTAAGAGAACACAAAGAAGGTAAATGTGCCGAAACTGTCCATAGTTCCACTATCTCAGGAACTTACATAGACTTCACATGAGGTCGAGAACAACCTCGACCGAATAAATAAGAATGGGATCACATTGAATATTAATGGTAATAATAGTAACATTTCATTTCATACACATTATGGAACATTTACATGGTTAACGTTCCAGTTTTACCTACAAGATACTGAATTACTGAAATGCTTGATTTGCAAAATGCAATACTAACTATGAAAAGTGTCATGTCAAAAGTGTCGTCAGATAGACCTGAAGAACTATGTAACAATAATAATAATTTCCTTAATTCCAGCAACAGTACTAGTGGTAAATGTGGAATTTTCAGCATTTATCTACAATATTGCATCTAATTTTATCAAACATCTAAAAGGAGTATTTCGAAAAATAAATATAAACAACAACAACAAAAACAACACAAAATAGCAAAAAAATGCGAAAAATACCAAGTAGAATGAAAAATAAACAACATAATAAATATCTCAGTACTGGGTAGTGGAAGCTATGATATACTTATGCGTGGTGAACAGTAAAACTATATCATACAAGAAGTTATGAAATGATATTAAGAATATTTATCGCCATGATGACCAGTTAATTTGATTGAACAGCATTGAACAATCATAAAATAACCTAACCTCTGTACCACCGACGCACAAATAATACCATACATAAGTATTATAGGGAAAACAAACTATACCCCATTAATACTTTTCTAGGAAATCATTGTATACAATTCACAGAACAAGCAAAGAAAAACATGAGGTAATATAACGAAGTATATTGAAAGTCACATATCAAGCATAAATAAAGATAATTCGGAAAGACTTGACGGTTAACTTGAAAATTTCAAGCAAACTGGAAACATGTTTGGAGAACACGTTCAACAAATTCAACATAAGTTTGACAAAGAAAAATCTGCCGGAAATATATACAGTACGCTGAGTATTTCATTGCTAAATTATTACACGTCTAGAAATTAGTCATCAGAAGTAATCATTTAAATCAGCCTTTATTCGTGGGTTAGCTCGCGAATGACCTGTAGATTTCATAGAATGACGACCAGTTCCTGAGTTAAGGCGCGCTTCTTCATGCTCATCACGGCCACAAGGCTTATTTGCAATGGTATTATAACCAGTTGACGGACCATTCCTATAATCTGTGCTGTGCGTTCGACTGCCAGGGGGATAGTGCGTTTTGTGATCACCTCCACCAGAGTGAGAGACAGAACTATCCATACGATTTCCGCGTGATGTTCCGTCAACGTGATATCCACTTGGTATGTGGGATTGTGGTGACCTGCGACCCTGACCATGAAATGGGCGGTCGAATCGTTGACGTTTCGGATCTGGCTCAATAGGGCCAGTAGCCGGAGCACGAGTAGAGTGAGATCTATTCAAATGCTCGCTTCCATAAGCATGTGAAGCAGGTGCACGATTGTGTCCATGGTATGCATGATTCATTTGAACATTTTGTGAGCTACTAGCGTGACTCCGATTATGATGGGTCGCGTGTTGAGGAGCCATTTGAGCTGGATTAGGATTGGCAGTGGTGTAAGGTCTTTTTTCGGGCTTCCAAGAATCGCTCCTCTGCTGAGAGTCCGGTGTGAATCTTCTTTGAGAGTCTAGACCTCGAGGAGGATTGTTGGTTGGTTCCTCCCTTCGTTCTTTTTGCAGTTTCTGAGATCGGAATGAATTACGCAACTGCTCCCTGACTTTCAAATCGCATTCCTGAAAAGTCAGAGTGAACTCATCCGTTATTTTGGAGATCTCCTCATATGTCAGGGTAGGTGAGAATGTATGAAACCATTCCCCTTTTGATGACTGAATGTCTGTGCCATTCCACTTTGCTGCAATATATAGGCTAGCTGCAGCGATCGCTTCTGCAGAATGCCGTAGTACCAAGGTGGTGAGATGTAAAATGTTTGTACAGATATAGTAACTGGGGTGGGCTATTTCCTTCGGAAATTTGTTCATACGAATGGCTTTTACTAGCAAAACATGAGGTTGCTTCACCTCAAGTACATGGAATCCGATTACCATAAGAATAGTAGCCTCTAAAGCATGGACATTTTGTACGAGACGTTTAAATGAATCTGATGCTTCATCAGGAGAAGGCCTCTTTAGAATGTCGTACGCAGCTTTGATCAAAAGAGACAACTTTCTGGAGAAATCTTCCGTCTTACACGCACAGTAAAAAGCAGCTATAGAAACTAGGATGGGTTTGATGGTTTCCGGAGAAAAAACCTCGTAAAAGTAATGCATATAGTATATTCCAGTGTTGATAACCACTTGTGTCGTTTGTAGTCTTGACCCAATTTCTTGAATTAAACATGCACACTGCTGACGGCGAGCCAGATGAAGTTTACGCTCTGCCTTATCCTGCTCCATTTCAAACTGCGCTCTAGTGATAGGTCATATATTCGGGCGCGTACAAAAGGACTAAAATTATCCCGCATGCTCAAGGTCATTGGTGGAGTGAGACGCTCAAAGGTTATTTCCGCCCATGTTGGATTGCAGTCCCTTAGGCGTTCGTTTACACATTAGTTATTACGCAGTTATTCACAACTTATCTTGATGCATATTGTTCACATATATTGCGTTTCACCTCATTTTTGTTTCCGTTGCTGCTAAAATTAGTTATTTCTTTTGTTTCGAAAGTTTTTACCAACAGGTCGGTACATTCATTTCATTGTAATTGTCTGATACGTTGCATTCATGCGTGGTTTCAGTTAATGAAATAGTGCTGTGTAGAAGTTTTGGAAAATATGCGCGTAAACATGTTTGGCTGACAAAAGCTGTTGTTTTTAGTTCATTTGCTGGTTGCTGTTATTGTTTTTGGTTCAATTGGTAACTAAATATATAGAAATCTGGAAAAAACAATGTCTTTCACGTTCACGTTTACACCTTGAACTGTAGCGGTAAATAATTCCCCAAAATTATTGATCACACTAATCAGTCACCATTGGATGCTGACCACCACTGTTTAAGTCGACTTGTTTAGCTGAAGGCTTCCGCCATTCGGTACCCCGTCGTGTCACGTGCACGATCACTAGCCAGCTAAGCGTTCGTCTGACGGCTTGTTTCGGTCCCGAAATATATCACGTAGTTTGGACGATCAAATATTGACTTTTGCTTTGTTTTTGGTACGCGAGAATAAATAAGTTAGAAGTTGCTGAACAAGAGATTCGGTCAACCTCTAAACTGGTGAGCCCAACCGCGAACTTCATCTACGACAAATACGCAGATAACCCCGGTGAGTTTGTTCCATTTTGTATTTGTTCTTGTACCATATATTATTCGACATAATTTTCGTGATGAGTGATCTTAGTCCTAAGGTCATTCGTATCCGCTCAACTCCTAAAACCATTCAGCTCGTACCATACTGGCCAGATAATGCTGAAACGTGGTTTCTGCTAGCTGAAGCAGATTTTTGTGAGCATGGGATTACCGATCACCGTTCACAGTTACTTGCAGTTATTCACGCCCTACCGCGGGAATTCAGCAAGTACGCAACATCACAGATGTTGAGTCCCGAGGTAAGTAACTCGTACGAGTTGCTCAAAGCATCCCTCCTCAGGAGAAACGTTCTCACGGACCGACAACGTCTGGACGAATTACTTCGTAACATCGAGTTAGGAGCTCAGTCAGCCGTGAGCATGCTGACAAGAATGAGAGAAGTTATTGGCCAAAGTCAGTTCGACGAAGGACTATTTAGAGAACTCTTCTTATCCAAGCCGCCACAGTCTGTATAGACCGTACTTGTGACACTTCAGGGTGTTGTAATACATGACTTAGCTATTTCTGCAGATAGAATTCTAGAAATAACTAAACGGTCAGTTCCCGAAATATGCTCGATGACTAAGCAGACTTCGAGTAAGGATACTGCAATGATAGAGTTATGCAACTCCATCCAGCAGATGTTTAGGTCAAACATGCATTCTAACTCCTCTGACCGTCGTCCTAAATCTCCTCAACGCAGAAACTCAAGTGGCCGATCTAAGTCCAAACCACGTTCTCCGAAAAACCCTGACTGGTGCTGGTACCACAACACCTATGGCCAAGAAGCGAAGTGTTGTCGTAAGCCTTGTAACTTCGGAAATGTCTCAAAGTCTGTGGGAAACTATCCCGCCGGCACGCGTTAGCGGCAACCGTCGCCGGTGGCACTAGCCGCCTACTTTACATCCATGATGTGATAAGCCAGACTCGATACTTAGTCGACACAGGCGCCGAAGTCAGCGTCCTTCCTGCTACAGCAGCAGATCGACAGAAGGAACCTACCTTCAACTTACAGGCTGCAAATGGAAAACCAATCGCAACCTTTGGTAGGAAATACGTCCATCTGAACGTAGGTTTACGCAAACCTATTCAGCGGATTTTCCTTCTCGCTGACGTCACAATGCCCATCATTGGCACGGACCTACTTAATCATCATGATTTACTCGTAGACGTCCGCCGAAGACGATTGACTGATAATACTACTAGTCTGTCTATCAAAGGCATCACCTACATAGGCCCCAGCTTGTCACTCGTTAAGATAAAGGCAATCTTTGATCCAACTTTTCAACCTATTGTTGACAAATATCCGGAACTTAATTGCCCGTCGAACGACCTACCGTGCATAACCAGCAATGTTATGCACCACATCATTACCACAGGACAACCTGTGACATCTAAAGCACGACGATTAGCTCCTGACAAACTGAGAATCGCCAGGAATGAATTTGACCATATGCTTACCCTTGGCATCATTCGACCTTCGAATAGCCCATGGGCATCCCCACTTCATATGGTTCCGAAAAAGGATAGCAATGATTGGCGACCCACCGGTGATTACCGGCGAGTGAATGCCAAAACAACCCCTGATTGCTACCCGTTGCCTCATATACACGACTTGACGGCAACCTTATCTGGCGCGACTATATTCTCTAAAATCGACTTGGTTAAAGCGTATAACCAAATCCCGATGGCAACAGAAGATATCCCGAAAACGGCTATCATTACGCCTTTCGGACTTTTTGAATTTCTACGTATGCCATTCGGTCTCCGGAATGCAGCCCAAACATTCCAACGCTTCATCGACGAAGTATTTCGCGGTCTCGACTTTGTATACGCATACTTAGACGACTGCCTCATTGCCAGTCCAGACAAGGAAACTCACCTTAGACACTTGGACTTGGCATTTGACAGGTTACGCCAACATGGTGTTACCATTAATATTCAAAAGTGTCAAATCGGTGTTGACTCACTCGACTTCCTGGGTCACACTATTGACTGCAAGGGCATTCGCCCACTGGCTACTAAGGTCGAGGCTATACTGAACTTTCCAGAGCCACAGACGGTGAAAAGTCTCCGCACTTTTAACGGCTTAGTAAGTTATTATCGACGCTTTATTCCCAACTGTGCCTCTCTGATTCAGCCATTGACAGACCTCCTTCGAGGGAATAACAAGTCCATAGAACTTGACGCGTCTGCTCGAAATGCTTTTACCCAGATTAAAAAAGCTATTGCGAATGCCACACTTCTGATGTATCAGGATCCAACGGCACCGTTAAGTATCTCGGTTGATGCATCAAACACTGCAATCGGCGCAGTTCTACAACAGCTAGTTGACAATGAGTGGCAACCACTCGCCTTTTTCTCGAGGCGCCTTCAATTAGCTGAAACGAAGTACAGCACATTCGGCAGAGAACTTCTGGCTATGTACTGTGCTATACGACATTTTAGACATTCGGTAGAGGGTCGTGAATTCATAATTTTTACTGATCACAAACCTCTGACGTACTCTCTGAACTCACCTTCAGATAAGTATTCACCTAGAGAATCACGACAACTGGATTACGTCTCACAGTTTACATCAGATATTCGCCATGTATCCGGAGATGCCTTGCCGCGCGTTTGTTCCCTCACCCAAATCGACGGCATAGACCTTGTAAAACTGGCTCGTCTTCAAAAAGAAGATACCGAGCTTCAACATGAGTTGTCGAAAACAACTCTACAATTAGCTGAGAAACCCTTAGGTATGGGAAGAGATACTATTCTATGCGACATTTCCACGAGTACTCCTCGCCCCATCGTGCCTAAAAGTTATCGCCGTAACGTCTTCAATACGTTGCATGGCTTATCTCACCCAGGTATTCGAACTACTGTCAAGCTCGTAACTAGTCGATTTTGTTGGCCTGGCATTAATAAAGAAGTAAGGGAATGGGCACACACGTGCTTAGCTTGTCAAAAGTGCAAGGTGATAAGACACACCAAAAGCCCACTTGGCACCTTTCTTCTCCCTGACGCTCGTTTTGAACACGTCCATATAGATTTGGTTGGACCCCTTCCTGAATCCCATGGATATACCTATATTTTAACTTGCATCGATCGATTCACACGATGGCCGGAAGCAGTACCCATCAAGGACGTATCTGCTGAAACAGTCGCACGTGTCTTTGTAGAAAGATGGATCGCTAACTTTGGATGCCCATCTTCCATAACAACTGATCGCGGGCGGCAATTCGAAAGTGGCTTATTCTTCGCCCTGACTAAAATCATAGGTTGCATGCGTTTTCGAACAACAGCCTACCATCCTCAAGCTAATGGTATGGTAGAACGTCTACACAGACAGCTGAAAGCTGGTCTGTCAGCTGCAAACAACACCCATTGGACTGAATCCCTTCCGTTAGTTCTCCTAGGGATACGAAACGCCTTGAAAACCGATGCTGGTTGTACTAGCGCCGAGCTAGTATATGGCACGACACTACGACTGCCTGGTGAATTTGTTTCTCCCTCGAGCTTCCCACCAGTGGTAGATCACGCTTCATACGTCAGCAGGCTTACAAACGCAATGCGTTCAGTTAAACCTGCTCCCCTTCGTCCACAGTCCATTGATGTTTTTGTTCATCCGTGTTTAAAAACTTCTTCACATGTGTTTGTTCGTCGCAACTCTGTGCGCAGACCTCTAGATTCCCCATAAGACGGACCTTACAAAGTAATTAAACGCACGGATAGATTCTTTGTCTTGGACAAAAGAGGCCTCGAGGATACCGTCAGCATTGACCGTCTGAAACCGGCTTACTTGGAGGGTAATCCTATTAGCATAGAGATAACTGTACCCCATAATCCACAAGTAACCGAAGATCGTTTAGACCTCGAAGAAGTCACTAGCACAGCAACAGCTACCGAATCTTCTGTCGAGCCTCCTAAGAAAACCCGTTCTGGACTCACCGTAAGGTTCCCAGAATATCTTCACACTTATTTAACATAACGAAGTCGTGTGATTCACCCAACTCATTTGTTTGTGGTACTAACTATTTTTTAGACGTATCAATTCTTTTATATACAGTATCACTAAACACAAGTAAAATTTTTTCTTCAACAGTACATGTAACATGCACAAAAAAATTAATTAGATGTATTTTTTTGAAGTTCTGAACTTAGCATTATTTTACTGTATAGTAAATGCACATCATTTTTTTTAACAAAAAAGCTGATTTGGTACATTTTCCCCGACATGGTTCTTAGCGTTCTTGTTTTCT